TTGTCTCTCATGATCCAGCAGGGTGGCCTGGCTTGTTCTCACGGTGGCCAAGAGAACAAGTGAAAATGCAAGGCCTCCTGATGGCTGGGCCACCATCATTCCTCCCATGTTCTGTTAGCCTGAGCAAGTCATAGGACCAAGCCTAGGTTAAAGGGAAACAGATTCTACCCCTTGGTGGGAGAAGTGCTAGGAATTGTGGGTATTCATGTAATCTACTAACAGCACTCTTGTCTGGGCCACCCCGATGCATCCAATCCTTCCTCCCATTTTCCTCATGGCTCCCCTATCCCATCCTGGCTGGGCCTGCCCTCTCCTTTGGGGGCCTCGGGCAAGGTCAGAACTCAAGGCGGGAAAAGACCCATAAAGTCCCTATGCTAACCAAGAAATCCTCCTTCTCACACACAGAGAAAGTACGTGGCACGCCTGGAAGAACTCCGCGAGGCTCTGGAGAACTCCCCCTTCTTCAGGACCCACGAGGTGTGAGCCCCAGCCGCCATGGGAGTAGAGGCCCTGTGTGTGGGGGGGCTGTTGGGGTTCATGTGGCACTGAGGAGAAGCAGCCAACAGAGTTACAGGCTAAAGCTACTAAAAGGAGACCTCAGGTGTTGGGGTGTGCGTTTTTAGGGTAGGCGGCACAGGGGATTTCAAGGAAGTTGGAGAGTTGGGGGCATAGACTCAAGCCAGGTGGCCTGGGATGAAGGCTGGCTCTGCTGTGTGACCTCTCGGGCCTCGGTTTTCTCCTAACTGGGAAGAACACTAGTCCCTTCCTTACAGGGCCACTGAGATGTGACACGAGCACCCGTCGAGTGCCACTTGGAGCACAGGAGCGTGTTTAACTCCTAGCTCTTATAAGTACTTTGCAATCATAATTATTTATAATTATTGTCATTTGCATTCCTCAGTGGCTCTCCCCCTTCCCCTCTCTCCCCCTTCCACAGCCTGTGTCTCTGTGGAAATAGTCACCTCTCTGGGGCTGTCTCAGAAAGTCTGAGAAGTGACCAGCACTGCGTGTACCCTCTCCTCACTGCCTTTGTCCAGGCTCTTCCACCTCCCCCTCAAGCCCCTCTGACCTCTTTCTCCTGCTATCACTGCTGGAAGAGCCCCAATCTGGGAGTCAGGCCAGCCCAGGTTCAAACCTCAGCTCTGCAGGCCTGTCTGCTGACCCGACCCTCAGGATGGGGCGATGGTGGACCTGTCTCCTGGGTGTGGGGAAGGTTAAGTGGATTAATACTGAGGAAGCGTGGCCCATAGTCAACCCTCAGTACGTGCCGCTGTTACTGTCATGTTTCTTATCATCAAACGTCACCCTCATTGTCCTTGTCACTGCCTTTGGGCTTTACACACAAGTCACAAAGAGAAGGCCTGGGGACTCCATCTCTTCTGTCTTCATGTTTGGTTTCACCTGTATGGTGACTTAATATTTTGAAAAATGAGTCGGCAACATTTAAAACGTGAGACTTCACACCAAATTCGAGATTTCGTTTTCCTTGGTGTGTGGGAGACCTGGCAGCACCGGGCCACTCACCACGTGCCGGCAGCCGTCCAGAGCAGGGCAGTGTCTGCCTCTTCCCACGGGCGCCTGCTCACCTGCCCCGGCCTCTGGGTTCTCTGGGGGCAGTGGGAGTTTGAAACCTGACTAGAAGGGAGGGATATGCAAACCTAGAGTTAGATGAAGGCAAGGAAACTAGTGTTTCTAACTAGAAAAACAGGATCAGCATCTCTGAGGGCTGCATGCCAAGCCCCACAGGCAGCTGATGAGTTTGTGGATCATGGAATGCTGCCAGCGACCCCCGGAGGTGAGGCCGTGACCATCATCCCCATTCTACAGATGCGTAAACTGCGGCCTGGAGAAAGGAAGCCACTTGCCTGGGGGTCACTAACAGCAGTTCTCTGGGGCTGCATAGCTGCTGCGCCTTCCCACGGGACTTCCTTAGTCCCCGCCGGGCTCTCTCGACCCATTCAGGGGGTCCTGCAGGCATTTGAGTTTGTACTTCAGCTTGAAAGAGGAGACTGGTTGACATCTATTGTGCATTTGCTCTACCGGCAGCTGTTCTAAGTGCTTTGTATAGAGTCATTTGTACATATAGTATGCACAGCAACCTTTGAGGTAAATGGCACCATTATTCCATTATCTCGACTGAATATGAGGAAGTAGAGGCACAGAAAGGTTAAGTCACCTGCCCAAAGCCACACAGCCAGTAAGGAGCAGAGCCAGGATTTGAACCCAGGCAGCCTGGCCCCAGAGTCCATGCTGTCATCCACCCTGCTCCGATGACCCGGGAGAGGGCACCTTGGCTGATGTCTGCTCCACCCTAGAACCTCCCGTCTCTCTCCCTGCAGGTGGTGGGCAGCTCCCTCCTCTTTGTCCACGACCACACCGGCCTGGCCAAGGTCTGGATGATTGACTTCGGCAAGACAGTGGCCCTGCCTGACCACCAGACACTCAGCCACCGGCTTCCCTGGGCCGAGGGCAACCGTGAGGACGGCTACCTCTGGGGTCTGGACAACATGATCCACCTCCTTCAGGGTCTGGCCCAGGCGTGACCCACTGGCCCACTGCCAGCTTTATTTATTGGGTGATGCCTGTCTGGCTGGAGGAGCCCTGAGGTGTGTGGGGACCCGAAGTCAGCCATGGAGGCGCTGGCCTCCGGGACAGGAGAGAATGTGCCGTACGCCATGCAAGACCACTGTGGAAGGGCTGAGGGGCTTTGGGGACTAGGTGGTGCCCAGGCCTTGCATGATACAGGGGTTGTAAAGACTGCAGAGGGGACGTGACGTGTCTGGGTCTCACCGTAAGTCAGAACTACACTGGGCCCTCCACCCAGCCAGGACGATTCCTGAGGAGCTGCTGGAGGCCACAATGAACCTTGCACCCTGAAAGAACAGCAGGCCTCATACCAGGCCTGTCACCATGTGAATGACTAATCACTGCCTCCCTGTCAGCCCCCTTGGGCTGTGAGTTGGCTTCTGAGACTGGGGACTATTCAGCTTCATCTGTGGTGCCCTGAGGACCAGGCCTCATCTGTGAACAAATACAGGAGTTGCTTGTCGGCCTGGGAGGGTTGTGGCCCCATCTCTTCATCTGGGGCCATTCAAGTGCTGAGAGGCTCTGAGAAGGGTGACACCAAAGGACTGGCCTGAGAGCTGATGCTGCTGGGTGGGGCCCAGTTCACTCTGTCCTGCCCTCCCCTGCCCATGGCAATTCCTCTGACCCCACTGCATACCAAAACCGCAGCCACATCCCGTGCCAGCACTGTGACCAGCACAACCTCATTCCTTGGGCACCACTTCAGCCTTGGGACTTCCCCCGTCGCCCTTTTAAGTCTCCTTCCTCTTGGTGGATGGAGGTGGCAAGAAGGGCTTTCGGTTTTAGGGAAGCAGGCTTGGGAATTGGTGCTGCCTTCCCTGGGTGGCTCCCATCCCACCCTGGGCCCCTGCCATGAACTGGGGCCAGAGGCGCAGGGTGGGTGGGGCTGCTGGCTGAGACCCCAGGCTTGTAGCCTGGTCCAAACCAAAGACCCCAGAACCCTGAGGTGAGCGATGCATCTTGTCCCTGTTCTGGGTTCCTGGCCCACGAGGCTGGGCTGATGACAACCACCTCCAAGCCAAAGCTCTAACATCTTCCAGGGAACACTCCTCTACTGACGAGGGGGACAGGTAGTTAGATGGGGCGGTGCTGGGAAACAGGAGGCAACACCGCTTCACTGCCTCCCCCACGACTCCCCAATAAACAGACGTTCAAAGCCAACATTGTGGAATTGTTTTTCTGCATCTGGGGCTTGTGGGTTTGAAACTCAATCTGAGCATTAGCTTGGGGTGGAGACGCAGGCTCAGAGTTCACTGAGCTGCTGCTTGTGCTTGGCTGTGCTGGACAGGGCAGGGGATACGGTGGTGACCAAGACAGCGCCAAGCCCTGCCCTCAGGGGTTCCAGGACAGTGCACCAGAGTGCTGACCAGTGTCAGAGCTGGGAGGGGGTTGGCACAGGTGGAGGGCTCAAGTCCAGTATGGATTCCCCACTTCTGATTAGAAACACTTGGTTCGTAGTCTCTCTAAACCTCTTTGCTGGGCACTGGAGACATAACAGCGACCCAGTCTGTTCCTCCCTTCAGACATCTCTAAATCTGTTACCTGGGTAGGTACTAGATGCTTGGTTTGAATCCTGGCCCCGCTGCTTGCCAAGCCATGTGACCTTATGCCAGTGACTGCAGTCCTCCAAGCCTCGTCTCTCCATCTATAAAATGGGGATCTAGTACCTTCCTCACAGGGCTGGAAGATTTGATAACTCGGGCAAAGAGGTTGGCACATTTACCTGCTCTCGGATATACTTCCTGTTTTCAAACAGAACAGAGGTGGGTCGTGAGGCCTTGTCCTGGTCGACAGAAGCTTCCCTGAGGAAGTGGTGTGGAGCCAAACTGGTGTAGGGTTTGAGAATGAGTCACCCAAGATAGGCCTCTGTGGCATGTGGATTATGAGCTAAAGGCGACCAAGATTCTGTGGGCTCCTTGGAAACCTCTCATTCTCCCTTAACTACCTAGAAGAATTTCCATAAGATTATCGGAGCTAACCTTTTTTGACCTATCCATAGGGCAGGGCAAACTTCTAATTTAACTTCGGCTCTTACCTTCCTCGGTCTGAAGCCCCAAGGTGATCCACAGCACAGAATAGCATATATGCCTCATTTTCCCTGTCTTGGAACCTCTCGAGAGGTCTCTCTCGTGTATGTGGGTTTCCATGTGTATGTATGAAATCTGGCTATTTTCTCCCATTACTGTCTCACGTAGATGTAATTATTAGTCCAGCCAGAAGAACCTTACAGGGAAAGTTTCTTCCTCTCCCATGATGGAGCAGTTACCCTTAGCACAGGGCTGCAGTGAGGTGCACCAGGGACCCGAAAGGTAGGCCGGCTGGTGGCAGAAAGCGTGAGAACAGCCTGGGATGAGGAGAGGTGAGCTGTGGCTGGGAGTTTAGTCCCTATCCTGTGAACAAGGAGCTGCTAGAAGTTTCTCTGGAGGTTTTTTTTTTTCCCTCCCTCGGCCCTAGCCCCATGTCAACAGACACTGAGGAGTAGCAGGGGGCCCAGTGAGGAGGCTCTTGCAGATGTTGAGAGATGACGATGGTTTAGAAGAGGGTGGTCACCAGCGAGGAATGGATGGATATGACATTCAGGTGGGGCGGACAGGACATGGGGTCTGAGCTGTTGTTATCAGTCTCCCCTGGGACAAGGAGCTCGTCTGTCAGGCTTCTGGCTCGGACACCAGCCCCTACAATAGGTGCTCGATGCTAAGGGGATGGCCTTGGGGGTGGCGGTAGGATGCCCAGGCCTGAGACTGGATGGATTGGGGGTGCCCTGCATGCAGGATCTCAGGCTGGAGGTCCTCAAGAGATCCAGCCCAAACCCTCGGGCTGTCGCATAAAGGGAGAAGCTGGGGTCTGGGCCCTGTCGCTCTGGCTCAGGGCCACAGCACACTAGTGGCTAGGGTCCCGTGGTCTGAGAAGCAGGGCCTGGCCACAGAGGCCAGCCCGCACTCCGCCAGCAGGAACCACGTATTCTCGGCCATCGGTGGCCCGTGAGGGTGAGAAGTCCGTCAGTTGCATGTTGCTATCCCGGACCTGGTCGTAGTCCCACAGCTGGCAGTGCCAACTCTTGCCCTGCTTGCAGAGAAGGTAGACAGCTCCTGGTAAGTCTTCCTCTGGCAGGGATGGTGGCTGGCAGGGCATGTCAGGCATGGGGTGGAACAGGCCTGACAGCTCGGGGTCCTCAGCATAGCCAGGGCTTGGCACACCCTGTACACCCAGCAGGACCCCTGTGAGGAGGGAGGGAGGCTGTGAGTGGGAGCTGAGCCCTGACGAGGTCCTGGAGCTCACTGAGCACCTTCCCCCCACAGCCCTCCTGGGTAGGCAGCCTTCAGCTCCATGTTATAGAGGTCAGCGGGGGCCAATGGATACAGTTCGGCTGGGATTTGAAGTCAGGCTGTCTGGCTCCAGAGCTGCAGGCATTTTGAGTTCTGCTTCCTACAGCCTGTCAGCACAGGGAGGTGGAGAAGAGATATGAAACATAGCAAACATTGTCACCCAGTCGTCTCCAGCTGGCCAGGAAGGGGATGCTCAGAGTGGAGGCTTCAAGGTCAAAGCGATGAGGGGGCTACACAGAGTCTTGATCTAGGCCACCTGATGCGCACAAATCTGTCCTTCTTCTAGGCAGGCGGAATGACGACAATGCTAGTCACAGCTAACACGGAGTCAGGCTACGTGCCAGGCATCGCTGTTAGAAGACTTTTTTGTGCTTTGCTTCTGAGGTGGGTACTACTGTCACCTCGATTTACAGATAGGCACATGGAAGCCTAGAGTCAGAGCCTGGAAGTGGCAGGACCGGGAGTGGAGTCCAGACTGTTTGATTAAAAAAGTCCGCACTCCGAGCTTCTTGGCGGAAACCCCGAGTGGCAGACACTGAGGCAGTTGCCGCCTGCCCGGCCCTTGCCAACTACCTTGTGGGGACAGGGATAACCCAGCCCTGCTCCCTTCCTTGAGGGTACTGGACAGGTGCCAGTACCAGGGTGAGAATGTGAGGAATGGTGATGGGGGTCGTGGAGATCCAGGGTGAGGACCCAGGGATGCAAGAGGGGGGACCCACCTGTGCTCACTGCCCAGTGGGCCTTGTGGCCCTTCCTTTGACATGGCTCGTGGTTGAAGTCTTCATCATATCTGGTGCTGGGGTTAAGGCCAAAGCTGCGGTATGGCCCCGGGGCCCACCCATCTCCACCTGGCCCTGTTCCCTTCCTAACGTAGGATACGGGATGAGCAAGGGATGTCCAGCGACAAGGTGCTGCAGCACTCGGTCTCTGTTGGGACTGCCCAGGCCACCGCAGAGCAGCTCTGCCTGGCATCCCAGTGCCTCCTGGGCCAGCCTGCCCATGTCAGCCACTGTAGGGACACAGCAGATACAGAATGAACGATTGCTGTGTGCCTGGCACTATGATAAGGGCTTGCTGGGGTCAATGCCTCTGTACCTCACTCTGACACCAGTACCTCTTTGGTGAGCCCCACAGAGGGTAAGCTGCTTGTCCAGGGCCATACAGCAGGATGTGGCAGAGCCAGGCTGGGAACTCAGGCAGCCTGGCTCCAGAGTCTACGTGTTGTACTCTGCTCTACCGGGTGGGAAGGGAATGGAACGAGGTCCCCCCACATACCTGGCAGTGTCCCATCCAGCTTGTGACCCTTCTGCACCCAACTCACCAGAGAACATCTCTCCCTGGGCCGTGTAGCCTCTCTCCATGGCGATCTGCACGAGTCTCTGCAGGGGGGTGCCACTGGGTGGCGCTAGGAGAGTGCCTGCCATCCACAGGGCCACCAGCCCGCACCTGTGGGGGAAAGAACAAGCCCAGCCTCTCAACCTGTAAGTCACATTTTACTGGGGCCCCTCTGCCCTGGACACTGGGGTGTGGGGAACTGCTTGGCTGCCCTGTGGAGCTTCCCTCCCCTCTCCCAGGCCAGGTAGGGAGACCTGACTCTGCTTCATGGTTGAGTGGAGGGCCAAGGCCTGAGCCCAGGGCTGGAGGGCTGCAAGTGGGGTGGAAGGGTAGGAGGAGATGTCACCTGGGCTTCCAGAAGGAGTAAGTGCCAAAGTGGAGTTAGAGATGACGGACCACATTCATTTGTTCATTTGTCCAACTCTGTTTACTCAAGTACCCAGGACCGGAACTGGTAATCGCCCCTCTACTTCCCTCCCCTTTTGGTCCTCTCCAGGCTGCCTGGGATGAGATGAACCAACTCCTCCCACCCTCCCGGGTCAATCCTCATGAAGCACAGCAAAGGCAGGGGTTTGGGTGCGCGGCCAGCAAACAGTTGGGGTTCTGGATCAGGGCACATACTGAGGGCCTTCTTGGATGAGGGAGGGCAGGTCAGCACAAAAGAGGATCCACTGCAAGTCACTTCTGAAACTGAATCAGAACCACACTTGAGTCACTTGGGAACCAGCTCTTAGAGTCCCCCCTGAGGTTTGGCTGGGAGTTGGGGTGCCAAGGGATGGTGAAGGAGAGGAACACAGGTCTGGCCGTCCTGAGGCAAGAGGGCAGCTCCTGGCGTGGTCACTGACCCACTTCATGCCTGCTGAGGACTTCCACTCCCCAGCCTCAGTTTCCTCATCTGCTCAGAGGGAATGACCCTTCCACCAGCTGCTCCCCACTCCTCCTCTTGAAAATTGAAGGGGTAAAAACCAGATGTGCAAAAGCTTCGCAAATTAGGAGCCAGAGTGCCTTATTTAAGAACATTTCTTGAAAG